CTTTTTTCTGACATATTGGAAAAGTATGCAGACATGTTTATCTGCAGAATCCCCTATGTTTTAGATTTGTCTGTGATTAGATGCAGGTGAAAAATAATCGGAAAAACTAAAAATGAAGTGATGTTATGTAGTTTTCATCCAGTCCCATCAGGAAGCACACTGGATGAACTCACTTGTCTAAAATTTATGGATTCTTTTTTCAGTAGGTAAATATATGTTCCATGTAATAGGATTCCATTGTTTCATTTCTAAACCTGTTGAGCTCCTTTTCATGCCTTATTATATTTTTTAGAAGCTTCCAATAATTGTGGGGAACACTCTTTTGTTCTCAGCAGAAACATATTGACATTTTTAACAAAACATGTTCACTCTTCTTCTTTTGTATATTAAACCATCCTCGTTTTGCAGTTTTATTAACATCTATTGACATAATTGTATCACTTGTGGACTGGCATGGTGGCTGACATCTGTAATCCCAGCACTTTTGGAGGCGGAGGTGGGCAGACCTCCTGATCTCAAGTGTGAGGTCAGGGGTTCGAGACCAGCCTAGCCCACATGGGGAAACCCTGTCTTTCCTAGAAGCACAAAAATTAGCCAGGTGTGTTGACAGTCGCCTGTATTTTCAGCTACTCGGGAGGCTGAGGCAGGAGAATTGCATGGACTCTGGAGGTGGAGGTTATGGTGAGCCAAGCTGGCACCACTGCACTCCAACCTGGCCAACACAGTGAGACCCCATTAAGAAAATTGTATCACCTGTTTCCCTTTGTTTTGTTACACTAATATCCTGAAGTTAAACCAGAATCCCTAAAGCAAAATGAACTTGACTATCACACAGTATTCTTTTTATACTCTTTTCATTGATATACTGATTATATTTGCTATTTTTTGATGTTTTCATCCAAGTCCATAAATAAGCCAGAAATTGAAATATTCTTTCCTGTATTCATGTCTGATTTTGGTGTCAAATTCTTTTTGTACTCAAAAAATAAATTAGGATGTCTTCTTTTTCTTGTTTGTGAAAGGGTTTGCTTAAGATTTGTGTTATTTCTCTTTTAAATATTTCATAAGATTCATCTGTGCTTTACATTTTGAGTAATGTTATTTAATTATGGTTTGAATTTTAATAAGTGTTATGTTAAAAAACGAAATGCAAACATTTCATTCATATTTTGTTTCTTATTATAATTTCTTTTAGTAATTCTGTAATTTTATCTAAGATTTTGAATAAATGGGCATAAAGTAGACCACAGTATTCTTCTAATTTCTATGTCATTAATATCTACAGTGATGTTCTATTTTTTATGTCTTATATTGTGTACTTTTGTGTGTGTCCTCTCTGATATTCTCAGGTGTTATCAATTTTATTAGTGTTTTCAGAGAACAAAATGTATCTTTATTGATGCCTTTATTATAGACTGGTTTCTCATTTCATTATTATTACCTTTACCATAGTGACTAGCTTTCAGCTCAGGGATATAAGACAGGGGATAAAAGAGAACAGGATGCACATGTAAAATATGAATTCAGATATGCCATTTTCCCTAGTATCAATATCCCATCCACTATTTGACACTTTCTTACACTGATAGATTATGTTTATCTGAAATTCAATTGGACCAGAGTATCCTGTATTTTATTTGACAACCCTATTAATACTACTTCTTATAGATTTCATGCCCTGCTTGTTGATTTTTCTTTCTTGGGGTAGATATTTAGATTGTTTGCTTTTAGGCTTTCATTTTTTTTTTACGTTTGTATTTAAGGCTATAAATTAACTCTCAGCATAGTTTAGATGAGACACTCAATTTTTAGCATGCCTTAAAATTTCATTACCATTGTGTTTAAAATATTTTCTACTTCCTTTGTAAATATGCTTACAGAATGACTGGTGAAAGCACATTCTTTATAGCACTGTGGGAAACTGCTCCAGTATCTATCAACAATAGGATACATAAAGGTCTATTATTTGTACAATGCAATACTAAAGAACAATTTTAAAAGAACGAGCTACTGATAAAGTTAACAACTGGGATGAATCTCAAAGGCATTAAAAGTAACTACAGGGTTATACTACTCTGGCTGAGGTGTCATTGGCTAGAAAAGTACAGGACAAACTTTTCTGGGGAGATAAAAATGTTCTATATCACAA